CATTTCCCCACAGCACGCCGAGGTGAGCAGGGCAGAGGTCCAGCGCCAGGTCTGGCTGGCCTCAGAGAAGACTGTGACTGCATCATGCAGGAACTCTAAAGGGCTCACCCTCGTGAGGGCAAGGCTACTGCCCTCTCCCCAACACCCAGGGAATGGAAGCGGAGGCTTCCTGGAGCTATGCTATGCAGAGACCCAGACGCAGCGAGACTCGCTGCCACCCAGTCAGTTCTGACATGCCCACCCTACCGGGCACAGAAGAACTGCCACTTTGACTTTCCAGGACTGCAAATCTTTACAGAAGCAGGGTGCCCTGTCTCCCCCCGAGGCAGCTGGTGGGGTCCTAACAGCTGGTCTTGCAGGTAGCGGCTCAACCACTACCCCTTGCGGTTAGGAGCCCCCGTGCCACCAGGAAAGCCGGTGAGAAAGGAACCTAGCCAAACCTGTGGCCAATGGCAAACTCAGCACAGATTTCCCCCATGGGCATATATGTGGGGTGAATTAAGAGATAGTGGGATTTTTCCCCAAACATTTTGAAGCCCCTCATCCATGGCCACAGAGCTTCAGGCTGAGGCCTGGACGTGACCCCAGCTGTTAACACCCCCAGATGTCGAGCAGAAACAAACCTGAAACCTCCCTGGAGGAAGGTATATAGCCACCTAGGCCCTAAACATAGGAGAGCCTTGACAAACGGCTGCAAGAGTGGGCGCAAACCTGGCCATTGTGAGCACGGCACAGGACCGGGCCTGGTTCTTTCTGTTGTCCAGCCAACTCAATGGCCCCTACAAACAGTTAACCACCAGAAACCTCACTGGCCGTTCAAGCCAGCTCCAGATAACGAAGTCTTTACACTTTGACATTCTGGAGAAATCCTATTTAAATGATCAATATTCCTTGCCCTTGTTAAAAACAGAACATGTTTACCCCATACATTTAAACCTCAGTACAGAAGTGGGTCAGCCAAGAGTCCTATTTTTCCAACCATTCAGCCATCTCAGAAAGCAACCTCATCTTCACCCTGTTAACCGTCACAGACCTGTCAGCCGGGTGGTGATCTGGTGGCCGGTGAGGGAGGACAGGAAAGGCACCCGAGCTTCACTTGTGAGAACAACTTTGAACTGTGCAGCCTCGAGCCATCAAGTCTTGGCTCCATGAACTCGGCCTGGATTGGGGCTTGTCTCTTGCCTGGGCACCTTTCCCAGCCACAGTCTAGCTTCCTCCAGCTAGACCCACCCCGTCTGCCATCTGCGTTCGATGTGCATTCTCGCTCACATCCTGGGTCACACTAGTCGTTGTCTGCAAGGGGAGGTGGTCAGAATCTTGGCCTTACAGAGTTCTCTTACTTGCTACCTGATATCCATGGGCATGATCACTTTTTAAATGATTTCAGTTTTTTAATTAATTTCTCTATACATTTATTTTCCCCTTGCAATAGGTCTGCTTTGGTTGTTCGGTGGGCAAATATAATGAATGTATTTAATCTTGTTGGAGCTGCCAAGATATTTTGTGTGTGGTTCTCACTCCTGCTGGTTTGGCAGTTTTTGCTTTACTCGATGCCATACGATCTTCTGACAACTATCAGAATGAAGAAGGGGTGACAAGGAAGGGAAGGAGAGACGGAGGTCTGGTTGTGTTTCTTCAAGTCGAGAGGAGTTTAAGATTGTTACATTTTCTGGAAGTTCTTAATGAACGTGAATAGTAATTGTCTTTGGGAAAGCATATATGAACAGACACTAGACTCTCCAAGAAGCGTTGATAGTTCAAGTAAAGCCAAATATGCAGCGGATGTGTATTGCAGCCCTCAGTCCCCAGCCAGGTGCCTAGAGGGGTGCTGGGTATGAGATGAGCGAAACCAAAACCTCCTCCTTCTCCGTCCAGGGAGATAAGCCCGAGTGGCACTGCGGGTAAGCCTTGCCCAAGCCTCAGCCCCTCTTCAACCTTGGGGCCTTGCATAGGTCACTCACGCCTCTGAACTTTGTTTTTACAGCCCTGAAGTGAGGCCTTGGTGAGGAGTCCTTCAGGATAAGGATCTCACACACTCACGCACATCCATCTGTACACTCCTCCATCGCAGCTGGCGCGGCTCCCCATAACTTTGTTCATTAGAAAGGGGTTATCTTTTGGTGGCTCCCCAGCTACATATGTTCAGTGCGTGTGTTTCCTGGAATAGCATCCATTCACTTAAGATCTCCTGTTTTCTTACAGCCTGAGAGAATTTCAGGAGAGCAATATGGAATCCATTCTGATGTCTGGAGCTTAGGGATTTCTTTCATGGAGGTACGTTGCTTTTGTTTTTCAGTTGGCGATTTCATGCGTATTTGTACTGATAGGCTTTATCAGAAAGAAGGAAGAATTTAGGTGGGGGGTGGAATTAACTAAACCTCCAGCATATCGTGTATATATGTACACAGAGTTTGACTGACTCTGTGAACATTATTCTAAAGCATCATTTCCCACAAATTGCTTGCATAAGACTTATTCGGGTTACCTGTTAAAAATACAGATTCTAAAACTCCGTGCAAACCCAATTACGTACATTCAGTCTTCCGGTATCCGCATCATTGACCTGCTCCCTGGGTGCTCCTTCCCACGTGAACTCTGGAGAGCCTGTGTTCTGAAAAAGGGGCTCCTGGAAAAGCCAGCATGTTGCTAGGCTCCTTGAACACACATGTAACTTCCAGAAGTGATTACACTAGAGGGGACAGCAATACTCATTTGGATGTATAAGTTCTATTTTGTTTTATTTTTCAAAAGCCATTTCATTCTTAGTCATATTTGTTGTATAAGTTGTATGTATGTATTGTCTGAATATATGTATTTATGTGACAGTAGAATCTCGGGGGTGGAGGGTGATGGGAAGTTGAGGGGGCTACAATAAGTTCATGGAAAATGGAATTAAAAGATAATGGAATTTTTACATAAACTTTTTGAAGTCCCCTCATATGTTTTTCTTTAGTCTTTACAGCTGTATTTACAATGGACTTTATCCTAGTGTGCTAGATGTGGCCCCACTAAAATTCTTCATGAAAGTTTCTGTAAAGAACCATTGGTCTATAAAGAAATACATAAAATGTGTGTTAGGACAGCTGGCTCAGTTTGAATTACACTAGTACTGAGTGTTGGTACTCACCAATGCTTCAGGAATGGTTGCTCACTTACATTGATTCAAGTAAAGCAGTACTTTTGAAAAGCAGAATGGATTTCCTCTAAATAAGATCATGGATAGAGTTGCAGTCACAATTTTATCACCCTTTTATTGTTTGTGGTCAACTACTTTTCTATAGTTTTTGTAATGCATGAATGCCATTGTATTTGAAAGGAAATAGCTTCAGACTCAATTCACCTGTATTGTAGAAAGAAAGCAAATGTAAAGTGTTCAATATTTATCAAACCATATTCCTCTGCTTCTTCACAAAAGGGAATCTACAAGGAAACACAGCACATAGGCATCAGCAGAGAGGTTAGCAATGCCCACATGACAGTGGATGGATGGATGGATGGGTGCTCAGAATTGAGTCACCCAACACATTCGCGAAGGGCTTGTTCATTTAGCCTGTTGTGGGGAAACTAGTGCTGTCGATTGTGGAAGCTGGGCCCGGGTTGTCATTTCCCTTTGCCTATTTTAACTCACTGTCATGGAAATTGAATGAGTACTATAGAACTGAGATGTTACATGCTATAGAGATAAGAATCCTAGATTGAGGCTCAGAGGCCTAGATTACTGTTCATTTTGCTGTTAGTTTACTAGGTGGCTGTGTACAAACCACTGGTCCTTGTTTTTCCATCTGTACAATAAATTTGTTAGGACATATGAACTTTAAGACTCTTTCTAGACTAACATTCTAAGACTAAGCAATTTCCCATCATTTTTCCTTGGGTTTCACATAGCAAGTTTGAGTTTGTGTGTCTAGACCACGCATACCCTTGTTAAGTTGCATCAGGTCAGTTCCAGCTAATAATGTCCAATAGAACAAAATACTGCCTGGTCCTGCTCCATCTACAAGAGGAGCAAGTTTCTCTGAAAAAATACAGAACAAAGTTTCATTGGATGGAGCTTTCATAGTATACCTTTTTCCCGCAAGAAGCATCGAGCAACCGGCTCTGAGTTAATGCACCCAGTGTTGTCACCTGGGAAGGCTCTCTCTGGTCACAGGGAATTTTTTTCATATAAGCCGTTTAGCTTCAACCTCGTTTTTTATGATAGCCGATTTAAGAGAACAGCATGTGGCTGTGAAATTGTGTTTCCTGCTCGGGAAAAATGCTGCAGAAATTGTTGAGATGTTGAACACAACTTACAAGGACAGTGTGGTGGGAAAAACTCAAGCATATGAGTGGTTTTCTCGTTTCAAAAAAAAGTGAAATGACAATTGATTACAAACCTCATTCTGGATGCCCATCGACTTCCCAAAAGGATGAAAATGTTGACAAAATTTGTGCACTTGTGCTTGAAGACCAAGGACAGACCATTAGAGATGGGGAAGTTATCCGGACTGTCTGAGAGCTCGGGTCAGTGAATTTTAACGGAAGATTTGGGCATGAGAAAGGTCGCTGGGAAGTCTGTGTCTTGAGTTCTGACTGACCAGGAAAAAGAGCCCTGAGTTCTTGGAAAGAACAGCTCCGAAGTGACCCAGACCTTTTTCCCAAGGTCATTACTGGTGATGAGACATGGTGCGATTCCTACAACCCCGAAACCAAACACCACTCAAGCCAGTGGAAGATGCCATCGTCACTTGGCCCAAACAAGTGAAATCAAAGATTAAGACGGTGCTCATTTGTTTTTTGATGTGAGGGGGTTAGTACATTTGGAGTTTGTTCCACCAGGTCAGACTGTTAATCAAGCTTTCTATTTAGAGGTTCTAAAAAGATTGGGTAACGGTGTGCAACAAACAAGGCCTGATTTGTGACAGATAAGGGACTGGTTTTACCTCCATGACTATGCACTTGCTCACACAGGCATCTCAGTACACCAGTTTTGGACAAAAACCAGCCTCTCTTGCCCCATGCACCTGACTCACCTGACCTCGCTCCATGCAACTTCTTTTTTTCCGCTAATGCAGAGGGACATGAAAGGACAGCGATGTGATGAAGTAGAAGAGGTGAAGACAAAAACGAGGGAGGTGCTGTCAGCCATCCAGACAGATGAGCTTGAAAAATGTCTCCAAGGATGGAATCGCAGATTTGACAAATGCATTAACTGTCAGGGAGAGTACTTTGAAGGTGATAAGGTGGTTTTGTAAAAAAATTTGAACACATAGCTTTGAAAAGAAAAATTCTGGCTTTAGGGGTGCTTCTCGTATACAATTATTGCTGTCTTTCAAACTTTGTACATTCCATGTTCCAGTTACCAGTGGATGTCTGCAGCTCTTTCTTGTCGTTTTGAATTGATTCACATCAGCACATGCAGGTCCTGAAAGCTTTGCTCCATCCACATCATCAAGGTCGACTTTATGTTGAGGAGGCAGCTCTTCCCCAGCCATATTTTGAGTGTCTTCTAACCTGAGGAGCTCATCTTTCAGTATGATATCAAATTCTGCCCTGCAGCTAGTCACAGCACGGTTTTTTTTAGAAGAAGATTGTCAGATCCTTCTACTTAATCTGGAAGCTCCATGGAAACCTGTCCACCATGGACGACAAGGCTGGCATTTGAAAAACCAGTAGCACCGTTCACAACATCACAGCAGCATAGCAGCCACCGCAGACCCGAGCATGGATAACATACTGAGGCAGAGCCCTACTCTCGCAGAAAGTATCTCCTAGATGTAAGATTCAGAGCACATGCACGTGGTCACCATTCATTCCTTTAGCATTCATGTGTTTACTCATGTGTGGCGCTCCTGCTGTGCTTGCTATGTTGGCAATGGGACTGTAGGAAAAATCAGGGCACTCAAGGCTTGGGACACATGGAGTTACATTTGGTGATAGGTGGGTGGGACATGAAGAGATGAAGTGAAAATAAAAAGATAACTAAATAATTTTCAGGGTAAGTATAAGCAGGATGAGGAGGTAGAGCAATGATAATGTGGAATGGATTTAGAGCCAGAGTCAGGACAGTCCTCTCTGAGAAATTACCCTTGAAGAAGTGTTTTTATCATATGGAAAATAGAAGCCATCTGACATCAAATACACGGTCCTACAGTGCAGTGTGTCTTCTCGGTTTAAGGAAATCAGAGAGACCAGTGTGAGTGGAGTGAGGTTAACAATGGGAAAATGGAAAGAAATCATTCAGCGGTAGCTAGGGGCTAGGTTACATATAGCCTTGTCGACCAGGCTAAGAATGTTTGCTCAGAGCAATGGGAAGCCCACCAAGAGCATGGCGCAGGGGTGGAGAATGTCTGGCCCAGGGGTCTTATCAGGGGTCTATAAATCACCAGTCCCCACTACCATCATAGACCTCACCAAAGAGAAGCAGCCCATCCATAATATTAGGGGTGAGGAAATTAAATGTTGGACCAATATGACCTGGAAATGTTACAAATATCCAAATGGCACTTGGCAGAAGAAAAGGCCCCTGTGCTTAACACAGAGCAGAGAAGTGGCATGATCCGACGGACACTTTCAAAGGGTCACTGAGTGCTGCACAGAGCGAGCAAGCCGCTAGGTAGGTAGGAAGATAAATAGCTAATGAATACAAAGATTAGGAAAAGGATTCTTTGAAGTATTGTTAGCTGTCAGCAAATGTATTTTGACTCGTAACCACTCCGTGTGATAGACCAGAACTGCTCCATGGGATTTTCTAGGCTATAATCTTCGTGGGAATAGATCACCAGGCTTCCTCCCACAGGGTTCATTTGGGTGGATTTGAACCACCCAACCTTTGGGTGAGCAGCCAAGCACTTAACCATTGTACCAGCAGGCCTCTTTCTTGGTACTGTAGGGAAGGATGCTGTTATGTATTTGGGTTTTTGTTGCCGATGCTCTTTTGTGCTAGAAGTAAACTCGAATGGTCTCTGGAAGACTGAAGAAATGATACTTGAATTTGTAAAATTGAGGGAAATTGAGGCATCGTTTGTGTTAGACGCGTCAGCACTGGCTGTGGGCACTGGAAGCCCTGGAGGAGGAGTGTGTTGGTCTATGTGGGCGAGGGAAAAGCGGAAGAGGGCTGAGATGGCAGCACTGCGAAGCAGGAGGAGTTCAGCCTGCCGATGTGCCCTGTCTTGTGAAGCCGGGGTGAGGAGAACTTCAAACAGGAGGAGGAGATATTGGCACAGTGTAGAGTGGAGTCTGGTGATGAGCCTCACATAAGTTCACGATGCAAGTTTCAAAAGGAACTATATGGT